CCTACACGAGACCCACCCGGGAATCGTGAGGATGAAAGCGCTGGCCAGAAGCTATGTGTGGTGGCCAGGAATGGACAGCAAAATCAAGGCCTGGGTACAGCATTGTCAGGTCTGCCAGGAGACACACCCCAAACCTCCAAGGGCTCCCGTTCACCAGTGGGATTCTATCCACACACCGTGGGCACAGGCGCATTTGGACTTTGACAGCCCGTTCCAGGGACAGTTGTTCTTTCTCCTGGTCGGCTCCTACACCAAGTGGCTGGAAGTCATGCCAGTCGCATCTACCTCATCCCACGCAGCCATCTGGGCCCTGAGACAGATTTTTCGTACACATGGTCTACCGGACATGGTCATGACTGATAACGGCACCGCCTTCTCCTTGGGAGAGTTCAAGGAATTCCTGGACCAGAACCTCATCAGGAACATGCGGTCTGCTCTGTTCCACCTGGCTACAAATAGACAAGCCGAGCAAATGGTGCAGACGACCAAGGACGTGCTAAAGCGGCTCACTCAAAGGGACTGGGACCGATGGCTGTCTGTCTTTTTGTTCGGCCATTGGGTGACCCTGAGTGCGTCCACCAGCCACAGCTCTGTGGAACTCTTAATGGGCCGCCGCCTCACGATGCAACTGGACCGCCTGCATCCAGACCAAGCCCCAGAATTGCGCCAATCTCCGGTGAGCCAGGATCCCCCCAGAGGTTCTTTCCAGGTAACCCTGTCTTCATGCAGAACTATTCCAGTGGCCCCACGTGGATCCCAGCAAAGATTACCCAAGTCACCGGACCCCTATTGTATGAAGTATTGATGGATGGGGGCCAGTTTCTACACAGACACATTGATCAGCTCCGCCGCTGCTTGCTGCCCATGTAGCCGGACTTCTCTTTCACCAAGGAGGAAGATGATGGCCAGGAAACATTGCTGCTGCTGCCACTGCTGACCAAGAACAGGCACCCTGACAATAGTGAGCAGCTGGATTGCTGGGAAGAGGAAGGCCTTGCACGGGCCTCTACGGGCCTCCCAGACTCTGTTCCCGATGCACAGGACTCCAGTGTAGTTCCTGCTTCACCAAGCCTGGCTCCAGTGTCGTCTCCACCCCCACAGGAGCTCTGACAGAGGGAACGTCGCAAGCCAGTGTACCTTGAAGACTATGCCTGCGAGGGGAGGGGTGTTATGTATTGGGACTGAATCATTCCAGGTATGTCACACCAGAGACTGGTTAAGCTTGGAGCACAAGAAAAATAGCCTACCAGGACTCTGGAAGTAACCAGTCAAGTAGTAATGTTATGTAAATAGCCTATCATTGGGAGTGGGGTGTGTTTGGGTGTGGCAACTGCATGCTATTTAATAGCGCTGCGGCTCTGGGGTCTTGTCTTGCTCTTACTGAAATCACAAATAAAGTTGAGCTGATCACTAGCCTCGAGCCTGTTCATCCATGGAACCAACTATTTAACATATTGGCAGTTAATGGTCATTTGAACATATGAAGCTGCCTTACAAAACACAACTATCGGTTCATCTAGCTCATCTAGCCACCCAGACAATCTGGCTAGAGGGTCTAGAGGCTGTGGTTGGCTGGCTGAAGCACAGCCGGTTGAAACTAAATCCATCAAAGACAGAGGTCCTGTGGCTGAGCTGGGGAGATCCCAGGTTGGGATGCCAACTTCCAGCCCTTGACGGTGAGTCATTAAAACCAAGGCGACTTGTGAAGAGCTTAAGAGTGATTCTGGATGCCTCCCTTTCAATGGAGCCTCAGATCACTAACGTTGCCAGACAGGCATTTTTCCATCTGCGCCAAGTTCAGCAACTGATTCCCTTCATGTTTTGCCCCAACTTAGCCACAGTGATCCATGCAATGATCACCTCCAGACTAGACTACTGTAACTCACTCTATGCAAGGCTACCCTTGAGACTGACCCGGAAACTTCAACTGGTCCAGAATGTGGCTGCACATGTGCTTACATGTGAGACAACTTGAGCACCTTGTACTGTATGATTGATTGCTTTATCAGGTTTTAGCTGTTTTAATTATTGGCATGTGTGCCTCATCTGTAAGCCACCCTGAGCCCGCTTGCGGGGAGGGCGGACTATAAATCGAAAAAGTAAATTAAATAAATAAATTACAAGCACTCCACCTAGAGCCCATATACAACCGGTGCTCCGCCAGCTGCACTGGCTCCAAGTTGAACACCGGATCAGATTCAAGGTTTTTTATTTATTTATTTTTTATTTATTGTTACACTTATATCCCGCCGTCTCCGCCAGCGGGCCCAGGGCGGCTTACAAATAAGGGCAACATGTGCCACATAAAACATTAAAAACAGAGTAAAATCAACCATAGTTAACAATGATAAGGTGCTCAAAGATGTTACCAATTTAATCAGATCAATCGACTCAGATGGTGACCTATAGATGTACCCAAAGCCCGCTTTGGTTCTAGCCTTCAAAGTCCTACACCGTCTGGGACCAATGTATCCTCAGGACTGTCTCTCCTGGTACGTTCCCCAGAGAGCATTGTGCCCTTATGAACAACGATCTTCTGGTGGTCCCCGGCCCAAAAAACATGTCTTGCCTCAACCTGGGCCAGAGCCTTCTTGGCCCTGGGCCCAGTCTGCTGGAATGCTCTTCCAGATGAGATCTGGGCCCTGCAGAACCTGATACAATTTTGGAAGGTCTGTAAAACGCAAATGTTCCGCCAGGCTTACAGCTGAGGCAGCAAAGTTTCCATCTAACTTGGCCTCCCCCAACACCCTCACAGCCATTCACTGCACTGTGTTTCAGCATTTTAGAAACACACAGCTTGCACAATCTCACCTCGTTAAATTGTGTTAGTGCCTATGTTGCCATCTGATTTTATTTTTGACTGCTATCATGTTAAATTGTTTTATTAATTATGATATTGTTTTAACTCATTGTTAGCCACCCTGAGCCTCACGGTGCAGGGGAGGGCAGGCTAGAAGTCTCATAAAATAAATAAATAATAAATGAATTGGTACTGTCTTGTCCAACAGGCAGCAACTCTCCAGGATCTCAGGAAGAGAAAGATCTTTCCCAACAGCTGTTACTGAGATCTTTTAAACCAGAGGTAGCAGGGACTGAATTTTGAGACTTTCTACATGCAAGGCATGTACTCTACAAGTGAGTCACTGCCACTCCTTCGGAACTACTTAAGACCCAAACATATGAAACCCTTTTCCTATTGCAATAGTTCCCTTCTCAGTACAAATCATCTCCATAAATACCAGGAAGTCATCCTATACCACCTTAAGGACTTATTGCTCTACTGTCAACTAATCACAAATAAGTAAAAGGTAAAGGTTTCCCTTATCTCCTTTTAGAAAAAAAACGAAAAGCAAGTTTCCAGGGAAAAGCTGCATTTTTCCATTAGATATATATTAAAATAAAAACCAAAATGGTGCAAAACAAGCCAATTAATCCTGTTCACTTCACCTGTTTTTACTGCTGTGAAACGGTACAGTGTCATTCCTTGTCTATGACATTTTTAACTACTTAGCATGTTTGTAATAACCTTTAAAGGAACATCAACCTGATCCAATAAAGCCAGGAAAACTTAATTTAATCCAAATTGCTCTTTGAATTCAAAAAAGACTTTATTCGCTTAATATGAGGGTGCTATCTAAATTGGCTTCCAGGTTCTCATAATCAACGTTTTGCAATCACTATAAATCTTACTGTGTTATTTTTCCCAATTAAAGTTTTTTTTACAAGGCATTAAATTAGGCAAAGAGGATTATAGTATCAAAACCAATGGCATGAAGCATTAGTTTTACTTTGCATCAAATGGACTGGGGTATGTCACATACAAAAAAATTAGATGTCAGATTAAATGTACAATTAAGGATAGTCAAAGTAAATATTATAATATCCCATATCAGAAATCGGTGACATTCCTTACAAGTACACATTAAAGAAGAAAAAAATTAAAATGTTGGCATTACAGGCATTTTACTGTGACTAATATAGCCATCCAATTGTACAATTTGGTTTTATAATTCTTGTTCTTTTCATTGTCACATGGAAATGCAGCAAGCATCAATATTATGTTTTAGATCAAAACAGGAAACATGATCTTCAGTCATATCTATTTCATAATGCAACCCCCGGTTTCTTATTTAGTTACCTGATGTCACAATGTTGCATTTCAAATTCAAATAATCTCTGAGTGACAAAAGTTTAAAAACCCTGCATTTTTATTACTCTAATACAAAGATTATAGAGAAATCAACACTACAATGTTAATACTTCAAATGCTGTCTGATGGGACAGGCCACAGAATTTGGTTTACCAAACCAACTTGCTACAATCCTACATGTGATTTTCCCCGCCTCAACATAAATTTACAGTACCTGGTCTGACTGACAAGTCTAATCATTACCCATCAGAGGGAAAAAAATCAAATTCAATATGAATTGAAAATGATGATCCATCTTACCTGAAAGTGCAAAATTATGGTCCATATTAATCCCAAAGTCAATTTGGGATTCCCGTCTGTTATGTCATCATTTCTGATGTTTACCAATTTAACCTGCCAATTGTAAAAGAAAAAAATGCAAAATACTTAAAACAAATGAGCACAAAACATGTATCCTGACTTTCATATGGCACTGTGCATCTTTGGAAGGATGCTGTGGAATGATCAATAATCTTAACAGAAGGGCATAAAGAAAACATTTGCAGCTCTGCTCATATCTACCACATGTTGGTTTTCTTAAGAGGCAGAAATAGCTTTGTTATGTGTATACTTAAGAGACAGTGCAGGTACAACAAATGCATGTATGTAAGAGACCATGAACAGATCATGGGGACACCAAATTGCCAATGGTCCCCACCATGTATACACTGGATTGGGTCCAGCCAACTTTTTCACCCTTCTTGTCCTCTATACTATAGCCCACATTCAACATTAGTTTTGTACATGCAAGTCCCATAATCCCCAGAATAGCTTTTTTCCCCAGTGGACCCCTCCTTCCATTTTCTCCAACAGAAAGCTAGTCGAGATCTAACCAGCATGCTGCATAATGCAAAAAAACTTTGCTTTCATGTAGTGTGGATTTAACTAATCTTGTGCCTGATGCTAAAACAGAACATCTCTCCAACGAAAGGAGGAGGAGGAGGACATTGGATTTATACCCCGACCTTCACTCGGAGTCTCAGAGTGGATTACACTCTTGTTGTCTTCCTCGCCCCACAACAGGCATCCTGTGAGGTAAGTGGGGCTGAGAGAGGTCTCAGAGAACTGCTAGAGAGAACAGCTCTGCGAGAACTGTGGCTGATCCAAGGTCACCCAGCCTTATCTTGCCACTACTCCTACTCTCTGCACTGAGAATTACTCAGCTGCATGAGAATATCTGACAATTAAAACCAAACCAAACAAATTATATTCATCTGTTCATTGATAATGCCAATAATAATAAAATAATAATTAGCACAGTGACAGCTCTTTGAGGAGTTGTACACACACACTAACCAATTTAAGACATTAAATATATTCCTGAAGATTAAGAATTAAGCTTCTGTTGCATTTATAACTTACACAGCCTCTAATTTATATAGAATTTCACAAATACTTTGGGAACCCTATTATTAGTTAAGCTTATTTGCCCTATAATTTGGCTACTGAATGGAGTCCCTGGCAAATGAAAAGCTTAAGATGCTGGCAAAAATATATCTAGACATGTTATTTGGAAGGCAGTATTAGAACTAAAAGGACCTGTCCTTTTCTGAACTTAAAGTATTATTACAACTGTTTTTAAAGGAAATTTAATTCACAATTACAATATTTAAGTAAGAGGAAAAGCTTAATTATCTCTTCCCAAAACGTTACAGAATTTTTTTCTACCAAAAATACAATACATTTTCCTATGCTCTGTATCTTCCTACTTACCAAATCCTGGTGGTGTGGGGGGGAGAGATACAAGAAACAAAAAAAAAGGAATCTCAAGGATACACAGAGATGAATAAATTTATTATGAGTAAATGTGATTTGAGTCAAGAAATGCTTCCCCAGGGGCAACTAAATTAATTTCTTCTTCTGATCAAGTGTACTTATCAGACAGCACATAAGAATATTTAAGCAGTTCCTCTAACAAAACTGATTTAAGTAGCCTCTGAGGAAGCGCCTCTCAACTCGTATCATGTTGGGCCTTAATAAGCTTATTGGTTTCAGTGCACCTTTGATGTTTACCCTCTTTCTTGTTTCTTCTTAGCTACTGCCAATTCCTCCACAACTGTTCGACATCTCCAAACCCACAGTTATTTTATCTGTCTAGAATGTTTTAATCCTACCCTTCCTCCAAGGAGCTCAAGGCAGCATGCGTCTGATCTTGACAATAGCCTTGTGAGACAGGCAGACTCTCTCAGCCTAGACTGGCCCCAGGTCATCCAGTGAGCTTAATGTCAGGGCCAAATCAGTCATGCCTATTTCTACAGCTCCCCACACTTTTTCAGACTTCAATCTCAGGAACATAAGGTCTCAGTCCAAATTTGAATTACGGTGTGTGGGGACAGGAAAGCTCATATTGAAATAATGCTGTTCATCTTTAAGGTGCCACTGGACATTTGTTTTATCTTAAGGTGCCACTGGACATTTTTATTTTTTATCCTAACATGTAGGGATGAGATCTTTGCTGGTTAGTCTAGAGAAGCAATCCCCTTTGCTGTGTCATTCCTACTATCTAGTTTTGACTCAGTTCTATGAGCCTCCCAACCAGATCTGGGATCCATGTGGATGAAGGGAATATGTAACAAGACTCAACCATACACTTTTTGAGCACAGATGATGCAGTCCATTAGGAATCATGCAAAAGCATGGCTCATCTTTCCATGTCTACTTTTAATAGACAGTAGCATAATCAAATCAATAAGAACATAATTGCTATGATGTCCTGTATCTGTTTTTCCCTAGTAGACATGTAGCTTAGAAATTTTAACAATGGGGGGAAGAGGGTCAGAATACACTAGAAAATCAGGAAAATATATCCATTGACCAGAGAATATGAGTATATTTCATGAGAAGGAATATATCTCCTATTCTATATGCCAGTTACTCCTATAGGAACAACATGCCCGTCCAAAGAGCACAGCTGAGTAACTTTACTACATAACCTACAAAAAATCATTCTTTTAAAACAATGTTTCCATACCTGCCGTTTTTTCAAATAATCAAGTGCAATTTGTACATTCTGTAGTCTGTGAAAACGCATCCGACCTTTCTCTCTGGGCTAAAAACAGAAAATGAAGGCTGTGAGACGTTCTGCAGCAGAAATTCTACTAATTAAAAGCCAAAACACTGAAACATTTTTATAATTTCCTGCTTAAAACATTTCAAAGCTCATATTTGAAGTAAATTTCACAAAGAGTTGTTTGTATGTATCCTAATATCTCTGCAGGAAAGCAGTACTGGTTCAAAATCTATACGTCCTACCTTCCCCCACCCCCAAACACACTTCATTTTTGTTCAAGTTTGGAAATATTAAATAATGGACAGAATAAACTAAATTCACAATGACAAGGCCCACATGAAAAGATTTATATATCACCCCTGCTATGATGCAGTACACTAAAAACAAGAGAGCTATCAAAATACAAAAAAACATCAGGTTCATACTATAATAGAACAACATCAAATTCAGTTCCACTCCCTGAACAGCATGTTCACATACAGAACATTTAGAATATCGCCATTTAAACTTGGTTAATTTATTACAAAGCTAGACAGGAGTGGCTCACTTCCTGTCAGACTCGGGCATTTGACCAACTGTACTTGTTGTATTTTTACCTGTTGTGTTTTTACCTGTTGTATTTTTACCTATTGCATTTTGACTTGATGTATTTCGCTTGCTGCTTGCACCCTGCCATTTTTTTAGCTTGCTCTCTGTTCCCTTATCGCTTGCCCTCACCTGCTACTGCATTCCTGAGGGGGGAGTGAGTGTTTGTAGTAATTTAGGGAGGCTAGCTTTGGTACCTCTTCTATGGGGCCTCAAGACATCTTTCACATGAGAAATGTCCTTGAAGTAAAGTCTGTGCCTGGCTAGATGTTGATCTTTCATGGTCTTTGTAGCAATACTGATGTGGATGAATGGAATTTTGGAGTTGTACCTATATGTTGCTTTCCTGCCTTTGCACCTCAGTCCTAACAAAGTATTTGAACCTGCAGCATCTCAAATCTCCAAACAAAACAGTCACTGAAGAAAGTGTGTGTGGAGAGTGAGCTGACTGGGAACCTGACACTTTCTGCTGTAAACCTGGTGAGATTCAGTTCAATTCTGACTCAGCAGAGCGGGGAATACAGCAGAACAAGGTAATCCAAATAAAGGGTGGGGTCCAGTGCTTCTTTTCTACTAGTGAAAGGATACTTCCATCAATGGGGGGGGGGGACTTTCAGCAATTCCACCCTTACACTACAAATCTCAATTTTGTGCCCAATGCTGTTCTTAGAGGTATCCTAAACCCCAGAGTGAGTGTCGGGATGGTCACTGTGGGCTGGGGGGGACAGTCATTTCTGCAAGCAGAGCTCCACTCACAGTACACTGGATCCAACCCACTGGGCTTTATGCTTTACTCTACTTGTATAAATTTAAATGAAAGGTTTTTTCATAACTGGCTGGAAGACATACAGCACAGTTATAAATTTGACTGTAAAATTTACCTTCTTTGATAGTATGTTTTCCAGGCAAAGTTAACCACATTGAAGTCCAATTATCTTCAACCAGCAAGTTCGGTGTGCAATTAAATGTCTTCCCTCACTTAAATTATTGGTCCTTAAAACTGGTTAACTTTGACTGGGATTGTAACCTATATTAGCAGTTTAAATGTGGTCATGCTCCAGAAATTTTTAATTTAAACACTGAAGTTATTTAGCAAGACTCACTAGAAACAATTCATTCCACAAAGCTTGCTTTTTAAGACTCCCTCAAACTTAACAAGCAGTTTGGAACTATGGTACAAGAATTTATTAAAAGGAAGTTTGGATTGACCTAAGAAAGCTTTCCCTATTATATCAACTTCCTCTCCAAAATGCTTTCAAAGTCCAAAAAGACACAAGCAAGATTTAAAAGGTATTTGGACTTTCAGTCAATTAAGTTTCTTCAAGCGACCCCTACCAAACGATCCCAATGGTCACATATGCCCCTGGATCACATTCTTTGTGAGCAAACTTTCATTATGCAAACTCTACTAGCTGCTCTGATGAACCCCAACACTAATTCTCCTGATATGAATAGAGGTTAAGGGACTCCAGAATGCACTCAATATTTGCATTTTTTCCCTCAGAGGAATCAGTGTCAAGTACAGAGCCTAAGGGCTCTTTTCTACAATTCATAAACCCAGGCTTGCCACTGAGCACAGCTCACTGCCAAATGGACCTATATGACCCACATACTTGCATTAATATTCTACACTGTGAAGTTATGCCTATGCATACACCTAAAATACTTAGTGTGAAGTAGCCTATATGGCCAGTTCCTAGGTAGCACAAACATAGAAAATTTCACATTAGAATTAGACATGTACATGAATGTTTCAGGAAAGACTTATGATCAGAATACTGTGGCTCCCAGCACTTCCTGCTCATTCACCTATTCGCAGATGCCCAATTATAGTGTTACTTTTTGCATATGTATTATAATCACATAAATTAGCAGCACTAGAAAGAAGAGCACATCAGGGAGAATAATTTAGAATCCATTCACATACATTATTTCTCATATATAATTCCAAGCAACATCCATTATCACAAACTGTGCAACTTTTGCTTTAGAACTGCATACAAAACTGAAACGATGCATGAAAAAAGCTAAACACATTGTTAAGGAAAGAAACAAGAAATTATATACAGCATGATCATGATAAACAAAGCAAAATTACATGCAGTTAGCATAAAATCATAAACAGGAAGAATCACACTAAAAAGGCATCAATTGCTTAGTCATCAGAGAACAGCTATGAGAAAGTAGGTAAATACATGTCCCCCTATGATCCAACCATTAATGTCCTTCTTCCTGACTTCAGATTTTTCACAAGCTTTTGCAATGGGCTAAAGCATGATACAGCACAAGTAACACCTGCAGCTAAGCAATGAATATGGGCTCAGACAACTATCTGTGAAATAGATAGGGTTCTCAAGTACCTACCTATGATTCAGCGGGGGACACATGCTTCCCCGCTGGAAGATTCTTGCGTGGAACACAGACGCTGCACTATTCCATCGCCCAGACGTGACGTAGGCACGTAGCTGGGCGACGCTCTGGTAATGGGACTGGAAACTCAATGGTACCATCGACTGGGACTGGAAACTCAATGGTACCATTGCTAGAGTGTCGCCCAGCTACGTGCCTACGTCACGTTTGGGCGACGGAATAGTACAGCGCCTGTGTTTTCCCCGCGGGAATGGTCCCACAAAGAACTATACACCCCCCGCCGAATTAAGGTAAGTACTTGGGAGCCCTGGAAATAGACATGGTCTTATCTATACAAACAATCACAACTGCCCTCAAGCAATTGTTTCTACATTTAACAACTTTCTGTGGCCAGTAGTGTTGTGTGCTGAGAATAATTTACGCACAAATCACACCCCAGTAGAAGGGAGAGCAGTTTGAAAATGAACACAGCTGGGAGGAGGGAGAACAGTAAGCCTTCAATAACCCTCCTCCTAGAAGACTGACAGCTGTCTCCTATCACCTGATTAGCCAGTAAGGAGGAAATTAGCATAGCTTCTTTGGTTCCATAACCAAATTATGGAGCAAGTCCCACAGGCTTAGTTCTGCTAAGAGTGGTTCTTTCATCTAGCATGAGTCACTTCTTTATGTTCTCTCATGGCACAGGAAAACTCTCTGCACTGGAAGGAAGCACCTCTGTTAGTGGAATGGATCAGTGGCACCCAACCCAAGGGTTTCTCACAGCTCAAACATTTTTTGCACATTTATCATTATGAGCCTAATGACAACCAGCTACAGCAATCATGAAAGGTCTGTGAATATGAAATAACGTTACTATGTCCACAGAGTGGAAGCTGTTGCAGCACACTGTTTGGAACAAAAGATGAAAGGTGAAGACAACATGGGAGAAGGCCACACTAAGGCTCCTCTCTACAGCAGCTATTTTAGTTACCAGAACAAGTGGCACTGCAGCAGATGCCTACTCCACTGAAGCAACATGAGTCTTAGATCCAATCTTGGAAAGAAAGTATATACAAATTCAAATGTTATGATAGCATAAATGATGTAGACTGCACATTATAGCCATACAACCTTACTGTGTATATGATTCAAAATATAAGTTTTTTTCTTAAGTGAACCCCATGTTCCTTCAGAATATCATGAAAGTGGCAAGAGGAAACAAGAGAAACACAATTATAAAAGAAAAAAAAATTAACACAAAAAATGAAGTCCAAGCTTTAACAGGCAGTTCAGTAATGATTTACTGTGGTTGTAGAGTCATTCAAGTCAAAGACCACACCCACTACACAGCTAAATTCACTGATTTCAGTGGTCCTAAGTGCTCTTAATTCCAATCCTCACTGGACTGTAATCAAAGGTCTTAGACCAAAAAAAGTGGCCAATGAAGAACAGCTGAAGGCAGAAATCCTCAAAGCAAATAACTTCAGCATAAGTGCTTTAAGGATTGTTCCCAAATATATGATTTAAAATATTTTATATGTTGGGTTGAATAGTGCCAGCTTTACAGCTGATGCAAGGAGGAGGAGGGGACTCTCACCAGATTCCCTTCCTTGCTGAAGCCCATGTGATTTTTGTTCATGTGGATCCCATCAACGCACAGGCTTTTCAGGGGTCAAAACCTATCCTCCCACTTGCAACAACAGAAAGGTTGTTGCGGTCCAAAACAGTATCTGTAGCTAAGTTTTGCAAACTTTAACATAGAGAGCAACATAGTGGGATGCACACACACAAAATTTGGATAATTGGTGCTGAAAAGAAAGATGCTTACAAAAATTCCAGATTCTCAGGAAGTAAAAGATATAATAGGGAAAATATCTTTGAGGCATAGTAACACACACAGAAATTTTGAAATATTTTCTGGTCCTTGCTGTTAAACAAATATCCCAGAACGGTAGTTGCAAGGGCACGCATAGGACCAGACCGCAAAAACTCACATGATTTTAGAAATGGGAATTTTTTTAAAGGAATGAAGGAACCTGTTTGGAACAGATCAATATTCCATGCCTTACTGTTTATAAGCAGCTATTTCCCATCTGGAAAACAGAAGATGTTGTTAAAAGGCTACCTCAGCATCTGCTGCTATAAAAATAAATTGTATAAGAAAGCAACATACATATATCATCTACAAGAATATTTCATCTACTGGGGGGAAAGTTACTATATCTTGAGCCAATTAACTATCTATGGCTCCAATCCACAAACCCATGGAATTCTACGGGATTAAAACTGAATTTGTGCATATCCATCCCATGATAGTTTTGTATCTCCCCTTCCCCCCTTTGGTTTTTTGATCTCTCCAGCTATAGAAATTTTGATTGTAATCTCTTTGAGGCATGGATGTATCATTTTTGCTTACTGTTACTACACTAAACAGCACATACAATAATGGCACTAAATAATTTTCATCATCATTTTAACCCTGAAGTCCTCTACCTTAAATGGTTTGTGGATCAGGTTGCAAGCGATGTAACACAACTACACTGCTATATTAAAACTTAAATTATACAGTTATGAATTATTTGGAATACCATTCATCCATCTTTAACAGAATTACTTGTATATGTGTAGCATAAGTCCTGACCACTGCCATGAAAAAGAATCTGAAAAGTTTTTCATTGTTTCAATTTGCAAATAAGCAGGTAACAAACAATGCACTCCAAACTTCTCCTGTGTGAGCCCCTTGGAAAAGAAGGGAAACTGGGCAAGACACATTCTGTAACTTTCAAATCATTTCAGTGGGTCCACTCCTAACCCAAATCATTGGTACTAAAATTGGTTTTGTTTGTTTTTTCTGTATTAGAGGCATTCCCATAATTTCATCTCTCCCCCCACACAATCCTTTCTAATAAACTACTATACAATAATAGACAAACAGGTTACTAGCAAGTTAGCAATCATCACTCTTCAAATACTAAGTTAGTAGAGTTATGGGGGTCGGCACCTACCCCCTTATCCTCATCCTCCTCATCCTCATGCTGTTCATACGGCCATGCTTCTGTTGAACTCACCAACCGTAAGGTCTTCAAAAAATCTCGCTCCCTTGGCTAATGAAGGTAACAGACAGGAGGCAGGACAGCAAAAGACACAAGACAGACCACAAATGAAGAAAAGAGTATGAACAGAAGAATATAATGAAGGGAGTAAGTGCCAACCAAGCAAGGGAAGTAATGCTCACAGCAAAAGGAAATGACTTCAGAAGGGAGTGTTAGACAATTACAGGTGGAATTGTTTTCCCTCGCTACTTGCAAATTGTGTTCTTTAATAACTAGAAGAAATATTTAGTATCCCACGTTTTCTACAGAAAATTAAGAAAGTAATGACTGAAAACACAAGTGCAATATAGAAAGAGGTGTTATGTTCATCTAAGGGAAACAGCAAAAAATACTGCGAAGAGAGTCAGAAATGACATTATATTCAGTTCTACAATTTTCCTAGATTCCCACATTTATAGGAACATTGAATTGAAGGTAACTCAGTAACCAATATCAATTTACATTTGGAATCACACAGAGGCCTGAGATTACTCAACAAAGACTCACCAAGGTGTCTCCTGAAAGAACTTCTAAGAGAGAGATCAGGTTATGTCCATCTCTCAGGTCTTCATACAGGTCATTCACATGTTTGCGAACCTGTAGAGAAAAGAAAATACAAAGTCAAGATGGTGTCTCTTTTCCAGCAGACTCAAGGGGGATGATTAACTATGCTGTTGTACCAAATACACACTTTTCTATAATATGCATGATTTAGTGAGTTTGTACACAGTACGCTCAGAAATACAAAAACAGCTAGCAGAAGACTATTTTCTCCCAATTTAAAATTTATTCTGCTACATCTCAAGAATGAAAAGAAGAAAGAGTATAGGATGAAATGCTACTTAAAATTAGTATGTCAATTAAAAAAGAAAAAAACTGAACCAAAAATATTATCCAAACCAAATAAAGTTGAGGTGGATCCTAGCCTTACTCTACTGAGATAAGTTTGTTTATTAAAATATCTATACCCCACTTTTCGTTTTGGCTCAAGTTTGAAACCTTCCACCAATCTAAAGAGCCTTCCTCCAACTTGAATGGCTCTAATAATTAATAATAATTATCATATGGCAGTGTGTGTAGTATAGCCAGGAGATCCTAAGATAGGCTGGCAGCCATATGTTCTAATTTTAGCATTATGCACCATTAGGTGGCGAGCTAGACTTGTTTTTTAAGGCAAGAGATATTTCAGAGGTAGTTTGCTATTACCTGCCTCTGCATCATGGCCAGAGGTCGATTTGGGGGGGATCGCAGGGGATCGCCGTTCCCCCGGGTGAGGTGCGGGGGGCGGGGCACATGACAAAGCCCCGCCCCCTGCTTCCGGCCGCCCCCTGCTTCCAGCCTCATTCTGTTGCAGAAGGAGGAAGAAGCAGGAGGGTAAGTTGGCGTCCTCCCCCTCTGCCTGGCCAAGGCCACTCCACGTGGCCTCCGCAAGGACTCCCAGCCCCATCCAGGAGCTTCCCCGAGGTAGCTGTGTTAGTCTGTTGCTGCAAAATAGTCCAAGAGTTCAAATAGCACCTTTAACCTTTAAGACTAAGACTAACTGAGTGGTGAGTGTGGCCTTATGACACACTTCCGGTGATGGCAGGGGGTGTGGCATATGCTAATGAGTTATGCTAATGAATTCCTCTAGCCCTTTTTCTACGAAATGACCCCTGATCATGGCCCTGGTATTCCTTGGAGGTTGCTCATCCAAATACAAGCCAAGGCTGACCGTGCTTAGCTTCCGAGATCCTGAGATATCCAGGGAAAGCTAGCTTACAAGATCCTGAGTTATCCAGGTAAGGATAATGGCTCTTCCATTAGAGGTAGGCTCCTTGGGCTGGAAGGAAGGCTACCTGGAAGATGGCTGGATCTACCTCAATATATGTGTAATACTAGTTCAAGCTAAAACTGTATCCGTCACCTAACAAAGACAGATTAGCCAGATTTGGTACACAAAAGCTGAGAAAAATGTTTGCTAAGGTTAATTCGGTGAAGTGTAAGGTGCCAGCAGTACAATTCCAATCAGTTTCTCGGGTGAGCCACGGGAGCTCTACGCTTCCCAGATGTGGCTTATTTATTTATTTAATGGCAGAGTTACACACAGGAAGCATATAGTAATATAAAATACATAACCAAGTTGATACAATGGGTATGTAGACCAATCGGGCAATACCCTTAAATACTAATATCTAAATTTTCAATCCATTCAATCACAGCTGGGGAGAGTTCAAAGAGCTCTATCACATCTCCCTGGAAGTGATGACACTCCCATTCCTGTGACAGATGGAAAATAGTTTGGCAGGCTGCACCATAATCACATTCGGGTCCTAATATTTTGCTTAGGAATGCAATGGAAAAAAATCTTATAGCACAATCCTATGCATAACAAATTTAGAGTCCAATGCCACCTTCAAGACCAACAAAGGTTTATTTAAGGTATGAGCTTTCATTTGCATGCACACTTTATCAAATACATAGAATGGCAAAAAAGGCAGGCTCCGGGCGGCTTACAGTGTGTGTGAGTGTGTGTGTGTGTATTATTTATAAAAACATTTTATTTATATATTTATATAAA